GAAGAAGTTTCCTGTGGATTGTCGCACACCCAGTAGCGTCGCACGGTGGCAATGCGCAATGTCGCATCGCACACGGTGGCAATGCACACAGCGGCATCGCGCACAACGGCAACACGCTCGACGGCATCGCGCACGACAATAACGTGCAGGACGACATTGTTCATGGTGGCAACACACGTTGCAGCATCGCGCATGGTGGCATCACGCACGGTGACAACGTGCAAGACGACATGGTGCACGGCGACAATGCGCTCGATGGCATCGCACATGGTGGCAACGCGCACGGTGGCAGCTCAGCGCACTCGACAACAACGCCGCGAGCTCGACAACATTTGCACGTCTGGTCACCCGTGCTGACGACTCGCTGACGCACCACCATATACCGGAAAAGTCTAGGTCCTTACACTCTCCTACTCCTGAAGTAGAAGCCTCATAGCACCACCAACGGCCCACCCCATTGCGTAATGCCTCACACATGCACATAGTCTCAACGCACTTTGGGGCTTTTGATAGACAGAGGCCTTGCAAGACGCGACCCTCTCTTTGCCCTTCAGGCTGGAGGGCGTTACACTACCAAATGGGTCCTAATGGATAGTGCCTCACACAGATTTTTGGGGGGCACGAGCCTCCCAAACATTCACAGCCTAACTTGCATCCTATCATGGAGAGTCAGGGAAAGATCTCAGTTGCCGGCACAATCAGTCACACAGTATGTGCCCTTCCCATATCCAATAGTTATTAGCATCATCATTCACACAGTAGGTGCCCATCCACCTATCACATAGCATGAGATCTCAGCTGCCGACACAATCATTCACACAATATGTGCCCACGGCATGAGATCTCAGTTGTCGGCACCATCATTCTCAGAGTTGGTGCCCATCCACGTATCACATAACATGAGATCTGCCGGCACCATCATTCACACAGTAGGTGCGTAGATCTCAACTGCCGGCATAATCATTCACACAGTATGTGCCCATCATTCACAGATCTCAGCTGTTAGCATAATCATTCACACATTATGTGCCCATCATTCACAGATCTCAAAGGTCGGCACTCACACAAAATGTGCCCATCATTCATAGATCTCAGCTGCCGGCACAATCATTCACACAATATGTGCCCATCATTCATAGATCTCAGATGCCGGCACATCATGCACAAAGTATGTGCCCATCATTCAAAGATCTCAACTGTCGGCACAATCATTCACACAGTATGTTCCCATCATTCACAGATCTCAACTGTCAGCACAATCATTCACATAGTATGTGCCCATCCGTACATATCATATCACACAGCATGTGCTCATTCGCACATATCATATCACACAAGATGTGTCCACCAGTACTTATCACACAACATATGCCTACTAGCACATATCACACAGAGGCATGTTATACATATACTCACATGAAACATCAACATGTCCAAAGCATGTTATGCGTATAATCATACCATCATGCTCATTAGCTCAAGAGGCATCATCATGTTAATATCATATTGTATATCAATGTAATAGATATCATTATGTCATATCATCAAGCTTATTAGCTCAAAAGACATCATCATGTTAATATCATATTATATATCAATGCAATAGACATCACAACATTGTCTTTCTATTTTTTCAATATAAACACAGTCCACATTTGAAGGTATATCATGAGACTCAAAGATCATTTAAACCTGAAACTAATTTTATTACAATCTAGGCTCATGAAAAGATAACTTTCGTATAGAGGGTAACCTCAAATATTGATCTAAAGTTTGTCACACGGTTTGATGTTCTTGGGTGAAGTTTCTGTTTTGCACTACAGAAAATCCAGGGTGACACCCTAATAGAAAAACGACCACAACTTTCAAACCACATGGAATTTTATCATGATTTCAAAAAAAAATTCAAAATAGATTCATATATCTATCATTTAAAAGTGGTTTGACCTCATTCTAGTATATTTTGTTTAATAAAAAGCTTCACACAAAAACATGTTAAATCTCTGAAATTTTATTTCACAAATCTGTCATGCTTTAGAAAATGGTTAATAACTTTCAAACCAAATGAGATATTAATAAGGGGTTTTTTCCATGCTGAAACATTTTCAATGGGCTACCAACCTATCAAACTTCATATTCTAAGGTGAGGTTTAAGGTACCCAAATGATTTCTCAAACATGTGCTATAAATCTAGAAATCACAACACACTTTAGAAGGATTTCAGTAGCATGCACCCGCACTCACACTCACACCCATACTTATACTTAAGTTTCATATTTTGATTAGGTATGGAAACATGCATTAACATAAGTGTGAAGTCATGGAAACTAGATCCACTTACCTATTCCCATTGAAATCCCAAAGTGTTCCACCAGCTTCACCTTGAATGCCAAGCTCTAAAGGATTGGGTTCAAGCTTAAGGGATTAAGGCTTGGGGAGCTTTAAAAGGCTTAAGGGAAGAAAAGGAGAATGTGGGTGTAAGAGGGGAAGTGACAAGAGAGAGAGAGAAAACCCAAATTCATGAGTGGGTGGGGAGTATAAATAAGTATGGATGGTGGAAACATGCATGTGCCACATGACACTCATGCATGGAGAGAGAGAGAGAGAGAGAGAGAGAGAGAGAGAGAGAGAGAGAGAGAGAGAGAGAGAGAGAGTAAGTAACTAGTAGTAGGTAGGTAGGTAGGAGTACGTAGCGTAGTACGTCGTACGACGTACGTACGTACGTACGTACGTACGTACGTACGTACGA